AACGCACGATCCACCACTAGTATATAAAATTGTGATTATTCTGAAACAAAGTTCATATATTCCATTATAGAATAGAATAGAAATTAAATTCATCTAGAATATCATTAATCTAAAGTTATGCTTTTTTTGAGAGCAGCAACATAATATTCATATAAATATTCTTCTGAAACATTGGTCGATACTTTATCGAAAGTGAGAATACAATATTCTTTTGGAGTATTGATACGAACTGATAAATTTCGTTCAAGCAAATATATGTTTAACATCAATTGGCCTATTTAGAATGATATAACCATATCGAATTACGTATACCACTTTATTATGTAATTCAAATTTAAGTGAATACAGATATTTTCTCTGATCAGAAAAGAAGAGTATCTTTGTAAAATAAACTAACTAGAACTTGTCTTTATTTGAATGGAAAGAAAAATTATTATTCGTATCTCAACTTGCTATAAATTCATGCTGGTAATGTATTATAAAACAAAGAAAAAACAAAAATAAAAGAGAGAATAAAGAGAGTCAAAACTCAAGCATTAGCTTATTGATAACAAAAATTAGGATTGAAAACACATAAAAATCATTCACAAACAATATCTAGCCCGTATTTGGTGGGGATTAAAATTATATTTTTATTAGATTTTGAAAAAAAAAGTTGATAAAATACGTGGTTGAAAAGTTGTGGAACCCATAAAATATGTTGTTAAAATTAAGCTCCCGTTTGATCTATATTATTATCTCATCAAAATGAAAAATATGAACGTTATTCATCACATCAACATTTAAATTCAATTTTTCTATCTCTTATGTGGGCCCCAATAACGGCTATATTTTTCATTCTCATTCAACAATAATTTGGCTCAAACAGGGCCTAATTGTTACTTTGCTTATATTAAAATTTGAATTTTGATCGGTACTAACTTAATTTATAACAAACAGATGCCGCCCTCCCCCCTTTTTTGAAAGTGATAAGTATAATCAAATGCACTGCTAGCTCACTTAGAGTCTTAACCAACTCACCTTGAGGAGGATAAGAAAGCCTTCTCTTACCTATGTATGTTTTTTTGAATATGTTTGTATGAATTAAACATTTTAACAAAATTAAAAAAATTATTACACGTACGTCAAGATTTATATAATGAATTAAATAATGACACGTGTCACTTTATCATTTGTCAATTTAAAACACAATCAATTTTTTTATCCAATCTTTTTCCTACATATCATATACGTACATTTTCTATGTGCAAGTAGCAAAATTCAATTAAAATTTAGTGGTTAAGGTGACTAAGTTTAAAGTATTGTGGTCATTAGTGAAAACTGTGAAATTAAGGCCCCTGCCCGTCTCAGACCCTAAAAATAGCTCAGTTCCTCCAATTTCCTCAATCCCGCAACCCTCAATCCTCTGTTCCACCTATTTTTTTTTTCTTTGGTTAAAAATTTGAGTTCAATCCTCAAAATAGGTGGTGGTTTTTTCCCGCTGGGCCGCCCTACCGATCATCTTGCTGGCAGGTCTTCTGTCTCAGTTTCTTGCTCGTGATTTTCCCGGGACGACTAATTCGTTGCTCATTTTAGTTTTTAGTGGATTAAGGGCTGTATGGGAGTGCTGAAGAATCTTCTTAAAGAGAGGAAGTTTTGAGTCCAGGTAATACTTGCAAGTTCTGATCATTTTTACGTTTCAACCTGCAAATGTAAATTGAATGTTGATTGTAAATGCAATTGGGCCTTTTTTTTTATATAGAAAAGGAA